AAAAGTCTTAGCTTTAATTCTATGATTTGTTTTTTTGGTCATACATTTCCATTTTTGGAGGAGATCAAGAATCTACATAGCCAATAAAAAGTTCAGCGACTAAGTGACTTGCACTGTATCTTCATCTTTTTTGCATCTATACTTCTCCATATATTTAATAACAATTCACCTTTGGATATTGCCATTTTTACAATCTGTTTTAACTGCTCTTTGTCCAAAGATTCCAATTTACCAATTATATCCAAGGCAAAATCCGTCAATTCTTCAAGCTGATGTTTATCTTCAAATTCCAAATCTCTTGACTTTCTTTTCTTAATCTGATGTCAACTTCATCATTCTCATGCATCCCTTCCACAGTTAAGATCCATCTCTCTATAATTTCAAAATCCAATTTTCATTTTATTTCTATCAATTGTTCATAACTCCTATAACACAAAGAAAAATCAACCAATTTTTAATTATTATTGTAAAAACAGACATCAATATTCTTTCAAAACTCACCCAGACATACAACCATTTCCAATGCTAGTGTTGATAACCTCTGTAGCTTTTCATCATTCCATCTTCCATTTGATTGGGTAATTGCATGTCCTTGCTTCAATTTTAAAGGATGTTAATAGTTCAACCAGATTTAATTTATATTGACCACAGAATAGTGTTTGATTGGATTGGTGAATTGTGAACAATGAAATGTTTTGTATTGTGAAATTTAAAAGACATAAATCAGCATCAGAAAAATCAATCTGTCGCGGAGGATTATATTTCATAACAAATTCTTGTACGGTTTTGAGAGGGATGTATTTTTCATGTCTAGTAATAAATTTAAAAAGCACTCTTTCAACATGTTGAAGTATTGGTTCAATGTATGAACCTTGCTCCAATGCTGTGAATGAGAATTTTTGTGGTATTGGCAGAGATAATGATTGATAAACTTGGTTTTCCATCTCTTGTGCCTTTTCTATTTCTTGTTTGTTTGTAACCTTTTCTTGTAAATATTTTCCAAATTTGCATTCCTTTTAAACTATTGTGAGATTGTAAATGAGGACTGAGGAAGTCCCGAGCATGTCGATCAATCGGAACCAACTTACTGCGGCAGTC